GGGTCGCCATTAAAATAATAAAGAACAAGAAGGCTTTTCTGAATCAAGCCCAGATAGAAGTGCGACTTCTTGAGCTCATGAACAAACATGACACTGAAATGAAATACTACATAGGTAAACAAACAAACAGGCAAAGAAAGCAGTGTGCCCTAACCCAGATCACAAATTTGAGTTGTTATTTTTGTATGAATATATGTTGATTTTATCTTAAAGTGATTGGGTAAAAATTCAGCTATTTCTGTTGGAGGGCATAGATTTATATACGTTACTTGATCTGGCAGTAATATTTTACATCTTTGGGTATGTGCATTCTAGGTGGTATATAGTATAAAAAACAAATGAGAATAGTGTCTTTTTGGTTTTTTTTGTTGTTCTTTTTTGTTTTTGAAACTTACAAGTGTCATTTGTTTGCTTTAATTGGTGCATGTTTATCTAGAGAGTCCACTTTGTGTTAACTTTAACCATTTCTAATATAGCTCAGAAATTAGAAGTGAGCTAATATGTTGTTAATGGTTACAGAACCATTTTTGGAATGTCTGAGCCAAGATCTCAGGTTCTTCCTCAAGAAATAATAGCCAGCATTTCTTGAACTCCTACCATATTCCTTGTGCTTTTCTTCCATCATCTGTAATCATAGCAGTCCTGAAAGGAAGGTGGTAAATCCTTATATTACAGGTAGTTTGTACAAAGAGTAACATACCCAAGGTCCCAGGGCTCTTGGAGCTAGGGTCTGAACCTACCTCTGCCTAACTCCAGAGCTTGTGTTTATTTCATTGTCGTATGGTGTTTCTTCTGAATACAAAAAGAGGAGATAGAAGAATTATGAAAATAGTTAAGTCTAGGGCCAATTGATACATGGATAAAACATCTTCTGATTATACATTCTTCAATACTATTCTTAATCAAATCTAAGACACCATAATTTTATGTGCCACCAAGAAACAAATTGCTGCCAACTGTAAAAACAAAATGATATCAATTTTAAGATAGAGACCTTAGGATCAATTAATTACAGACTTTTTTATAGGCATGTATTAGCAACTCACCTTCAGAAATGCTAACTTTACCTGAAAAACATATGAGGTTAAGTTTTATTGGCAAACTCCTTTTTAAGAAATGAGGGGAGGGCTTCCCTGATGGCACAGTGGTTGAGAATCCGCCTGCCGATTCAGGGGACCCGGGTTCAAGCCCTGGTCCGGGAAGATCCCACAAGCCGCGGAGCAACTAAGCCCATGCGCCAAAACTACTGAGCCTGTGCTCTAGAGCCCATGAGTCACAACTACTGGGCCCACATGCTGCAACTGCTGAAGCACGTGTGCCTAGGGCCCGTGCTCTGCAGCAAGAGAAGCCACAGTAATGAGAAGCTCGTGCATTGCAACAAAGGGTGGCCCCTGCTCTCCACCACTAGAGAAAAATCCCGCGCACAGCAACGAAGAACCCAACACAGCCAAAAATAAATAAAATAAATAAATTTATTAAAAAAAAAAGAAACGAGGGGAGGGCATTATGGTTCTTTAGTCCCCTCAAAATAACAGAAACAAAAAAATTGATGTTTAAAGGTGTAAGGTTCACATATTCAGATTAGATTTCATTTATGAAACACCCTTCATTCCTCATTGTTGCAATAAAATGAGCTTATACTATTTTTTTCTTCCTTAGTGCCGCCTTTGTAGATATCTGATATAACCCACAGTAATAACATTTGTATTTCAAGTCTTTTCACACTTACTGCATGTTTTCTGTTCACTTTCAGTTACAACTTATTGTAAGGTGAGCACATTTCCTATTCAAGGGGCTTAGGAGGCCAAGAAGGACATTCTAAGTTGCTTGACTTACAGTCTCTAAACATACCTCCCTTTTTCTTCTTTCTCACTCTTGTTTTATTTTGAATTTTTGCTTAAGTAGTAGAGAAAATGTTGATAGCATTACTACAACAATTTATTTCTGCCTTGTTGAAAGAAAACACGAACTGTTAGCTACTTGGTTATGTTATAATAATGGCTGTCATTTTTGTTTCTAATAAACTGACTTTAATGATCATTAATTGCATCAGTTATTACAGATATTCTTTTGGATGAGTTTTTTTTTTTTAAAGATTCTTATTTAGGAAGAAGGTGAATTCATGCACAGTGTCTTAGGAAACTGAGTTTCTATATTGGAAAACAAGCAAAAAGAACTTTAGATTTAGACACAGCCATGGCAGTAGAGTTGATACATTAAATTTAAGGTGTCTGGAAGTTGTATTGCTCTTTTATAATGTAAATAACTTAATTTTGAAGTGATTTGATCAATATAATTTAGTCTCATGAGTTGTATAGTCTTTAAGTCTTTGAACTTCTAAAAACTCTTACTTTTTTTTACCACATAGCATAATTTCTTATCTGGATTATTTGGTACCTGCCATGGTCTAGTTAAAAGAACATTCAGTTTAAGTGTAGAACAAAGTCTTGCCAACCGTCTGTTCTCCCCAAAGTTCAGTTTAAAAAAACTGAACATATATACTTGTGTTTGAGCTTTCTTTGACAGTGTCTTTAGTGCTCAGCACATTATAGATACTTAGTAAATGAACGATGAATTAGTGGAATTGAGTGGATTGATCTTCCATTGGAAGAACATTCTAATCACAGCTTCTTAGAGGGATTGTCATAATCACGTTTGAATTCTGACATCAGTTACCTTTTGCATTTTCTTTGCGGCTGCTGCTTAACCAGGTCAAAACTCTTGTTTGGACCATGTCTCTGGGGTGTCTTATGTCACATGGAGCTGTGTTCTTAATTTTAAACCTGTGAACTCAGTGATTAAGAGCAGATGTTATACATTCTTAGGTAACTGTTGGTGAGAGTTGAGTTGTACTATGGACTCCTAGAGAGCCATGTAGTAGTTGTATTGTGTTATTTATCCTAATTTTAGATCACGTGTATCAGGAATGATCTAAAAGCAATATTGACATGCACTGCTTCCAGGGAGGCAGTTCAGGGCTCCTACCAGGACAACGCAATGTATCCCCTTTCTCAGGGACCAGACACTGAATACTGTCCTAGTTATTCCAGATAAATCTGTAGAGAAACCTCTGTTTTAAATGATACTAAAAGACCAAAATGAAGGTAGCCTTGACAAATGGTTGTTTTATGTCATTCCAGTTGAGTTATAGGTGCTCAGTTTGGTGTGTGTAAGAATTTTTATACTGAAGGGCAGTTCTTTACTTTATTGAATGACTTCATCGGATGTGAAGTCAGTGTTAATACTTTTTTTTTTTTTTTTTGTAAGAATTTTTATACTGAAGGGCAGTTCTTTACTTTATTGAATGACTTCATCGGATGTGAAGTCAGTGTTAATTTTTTTTTTTTTTTTGCGGTACGTGGCCCTCTCACTGTTGTGGTCTGCCCTGTTGCGGAGCACAGGCCCCGGAAGCGCAGGCTCAGCGGCCATGGCTCACGGGCCCAGCCGCTCCGCGGCATGTGGGATCTTCCCGGACCGGGGCACGAACCCGTGTTCCCTGCATCGGCAGGTGGACTCTCAACCACTGCGCCATCAGGGAAGCCCCAGTGTTAATACTTAAAGCACAACTTTTCGAAGCAATTTGTTGACTATTAAGCCTTTTTAGAGGATCAGTAGTGATACCAAGTAATGTATTCTATTAGTCTTTCACCATTCATAAGCCTACTCACAATTTCTTGTGATTGAGCCTTATTTTGAAGTTTTCCCAAACCTTTAGTCTTGGACAGGATGTCCCATGTACCAGTTTGATGAACATGATCAGATGCCTTGATTATGAACTCTAGTACCTTACAATGTGATTTTCGAGCCTTTGCTGTATTTGCCCAAAAGAAAAAAAAATCTGTCTTCCTTTGACAATTGTTTCAGAAAATTACTAGTGAAATCTAAGGCTCAGCAAAGCAGATTGTGTATGTGTATCAAAGCCTTCCCAGAGAGGGCTGCCAAGTACAGCATCGTCACAAGCTGGACATCCCAGTGGATGGAGCTTAGATGAAGTTGTGAGGTAGGGCTTTCAGGGAGTACAACGTGTTTTCCCTTACCAGTGACGATAAAATTATCAAAGTATTCTCAGTACTCTTTGTCAGTTTGCTACTTGCGTTTTCATACCTGACTTAATTTTCTTTTAAGCAAGGCATTTTGGTGCTATTTCTTGCATTATATTGCATATTGACAGACACTATACACTATTATATTAATTCAGCAGATGAACAATTTAGATATTCTTACCTGATTAAAGAATGTGCTGTTTAGTGCAGAATGCTGATCTCCAGATTTTAACTTGATTTTCACTCTGCATTTGACATTGTCATGTTACAGATTGTTGGAGAGTTCATGTGCATGTTATTCTCATTTTATTGGTATGTATAATTTTAAATGAAACTTTTTTCTCTTTCAGTGCATTTAAAACGCCACTTTATGTTTCGAAACCACCTCTGTTTAGTTTTTGAAATGCTGTCCTACAACCTCTATGACTTGTTGAGGAACACCAATTTTCGAGGTGTCTCTTTGAACCTAACACGAAAGTTTGCGCAGCAAATGTGCACTGCACTGCTTTTCCTTGCGACTCCAGAACTTAGTATCATTCACTGTGACCTAAAACCTGAGAATATCCTTCTTTGTAACCCCAAACGCAGTGCAATCAAGATTGTTGACTTTGGCAGTTCTTGTCAGTTGGGGCAGAGGGTAAGTATATTTCAGGACTTGTGAATTAAAATTAGAACTAGGTTAAAAGAGTGTAAGTAGATACTTGAAATGTTATTAATCTGTATACAATTTGGAGGTAATTACAGGATGGTTATCTTTAAAATGCAGCACTTGAATCACCTTGTGTTGATACCTATTTTGGGAAATACCTTTTAGTAAACTTTGAATTAGAAGGTATTAGTTTTTTAAAGTTTAACTTAAAAAATTATGTGTATGCTAAAAGTCTAAGAGAAAAGAGGGGATGGATATATTAAATATTAGGTGATTTGTTGTAACTGTATTTCCCAAATAGAGGTCCTTAGTATAAATTTGGGGAAATTCCAGTAATAGAACATTGACTCCTTGCTGTAAAATATTTCTCTAAATATAGGTCAAGATAAATGTTTTTCCTCAAAAGCTGATGGGTAAAAAAAAAATGCAGGTAATTTTACATTACACACAGTGATACAGTGTAAATTACTAGGTTGATAGACATACTTGTTTTGATAAATAAGTTTAAATCTTTTTTTTTGTTTTATAAATTATGACACTGAACTAGTTTTCTTTAGAGTGCTAAAAACAGACATGTCCATAGCAATAAACAGATTTAGGTTTAGCTGATTTTAGGAAAGCAAATTTTTCCTACGGATCTTTCTAGCATTATGAAAGCTACTCTAACAGTGTTTTGCATATAAAATAGAAGTTATAGGATGTTCTCTTCTTGAAACCAACTAGGGTCACCATTTGATAATACTTTATTCATTTAAAATGTTGTTCCTATTTACTTGTAAGTATTGAAACTGCATTTCTTTAAAAAAAAAGGTAAAAACATAACTAACATGGAGATATTCCTATTTCATATTGGCTTTCCATTTCTTGTTTTTCCAAATTAGTGAAATTTCCTATCCAGCTTTATTCCAGCTTTTAAATACAGTAGGTTAATTTAATCATGAAGGTTTATGGTCAGTTAACAAGATTGTCTTTTTGTTATTTTCTGAAAATTCTCTCATGGTAGCAGTGCTACATTGAAATACTTTTTAAAAATGGAAGGAATAGGAAGCAAAGTTTGCAGTTTCAGATGCCTCTGAAAATCAAAAGATGCTCATAGTTGTTAATAGGGATCAAGTATATTGTAAATGGAAAATATGTGCCCATCTTGAGAGTCATTTGAATAGATTTTAGACTTGTACAATTTTTTCCTATTTAAACCAAATCATATATGCCGCCCTGATATCAAGCACTACTGTCTCTCTCCAGCCAAAGTGAAACAGCTATACCTTTAGCTCAGTGAGTTTTTTAACTATGTGAGTGTATCAGAATCCCATGGGAAGTCATTTCCAAAACAGACATGCAGTGGCCCTATTCTAGGTCTGCTGGCTCAGTGTTAGAAGGTGGCAGGGCAGGTATGTTTAAAAAAAAGGTTTCTCAGGCGATCCTGGCGCACAGGCTTGTAGATAACCCAACTACTGCTTTAAGCAGCTGGATAGGTAGGTGACAAACTTCCTTTCCTAAGCTGGGAAATAAGTCTCAGTAGTAGGGAGTCTTTGGGGCTTCACGATGCCATTGGCTTATAAAAACTTGGAAATGTAATACTTCTTCCTGGTCCCTTTCAGTTAGGCTTTCTTCACTCTGAGCAGGCCTTAAGGTTGGGCTGACCTGCTTGTGGAGGCATGGGATGGTTCTCAGATTTGGCTGGAGTTGTGGAGGTCACAGAAGCTTTCGTGAGAAGCGGCTCCATGCTGCTGGCTGCCTCGTTTGAGTGTTAAGTTAGGGAGTTTGGGTAGGAGGATTTTGTTTGTTTCTCTCCCTTTTTACGTGAAACTATCTTTGCTTTTGTAGTATTTCTAGATATACATTTTAAATGGCCAGGTGAAGATGAATTGGTCTCTGAAGACATCTCAGATTACTTCGTCGAAAATAATCCATTTCAAGATTTCTTTTTCTAAGAAGTCTTAGAATGAGATGGAGGAGGACAGGGTAGAGAAGTGATTAGTCAGAAACGACTCCCAATTGAATATGTGGCAGTGTTTCTAGATTTATCTGTGGGACTAGTACAGTACAGATGTCTGAAATTTCAATTGCATTGTACTGAGTTTGAGTCTTTCTTAATGCTTTGACTTAACCTGAAAAAAGTCTTTCAGGTTAATTTAGATACAATTTGGCTGTTAAATTAATGGTAAACCAAGTACCAGCCATAACAGGAAAGAATAATTAATAGGGAGATAAATTGTTCTCAGTAATATTTTCTTCTAATAAGGCATAATTGTTTAAGATATATCTTGGTTACCGGTTAGGATTGAACTAAATGAAAGGGCTTGAATTATATATATATATATATATATATATATAT